TATAGGATGAATGCACATGAAACTACAGCTAAAACCTAACTCCATCATGGATAATCCGGAGTGTCTGTTTGTAAAAAGATTTAGTCATCACTCCCTCCTTTCTTCTTTCTCATCATCCAGTTTTATGCCCATTGGAACAAGTCTTCAGAGTTCCATGGTAGGATGGAAAAGTGGGAGGAAAGGGGTGGGGGAGGAAGAGGGTAAGGATGTATACGCTTTCCTTGTTTGTTAGGAAGGAGATTGAATTGGAGGGTTAAGGTAGGAGTGAAGGGCTTCACTTCCATGCCGACCAAATTACTTCCTCCCCAAAATGGTGGAACTTGTGAAAGACCCAATTTGTTATATTGTATTCAAATGCTTTCAATGATTCTTACAAAACTTCAAAATCAAGTATTATCAATAATGGGTATTGCACTTTGAATTGGATTCGAAGTCGGTGTAAGTAAATATTGCTTTCTCTTAGTGACCTCGTCAACTAAACTTTAAAAAACAAAAACAAAAACAAACAAACAAATTACCATAACAATATTAGAATAGAGTCAAATAACTTTTGATAATTGAATTAAATTCTCTTCCCATATTTCAATACCTTTCCTTCTCTTGAATTTTCAAAGAATTCAATATAACTTGCTCATAGTTAAGAGTACAGGATTAACAATCATCACCCTGCTTCAACCAAAAAAACAATTCTTTTTTTTTTTTCTTGGGTGCAGCTTAACTGGTCCTGGTGCATATATTTCAAGATAAAACTTACCATTCATTATATATATATATAAATAGAGAGAGAGAGAGAGACAGAGGGGAATATAAAGTACCGTGGCTTTTGGGAACAGAGGAAGTGAAGGGCTTTCAATCAATGGGTGTGGGTTTTGAGTTTTGCAACTGTTTTAAGTCGTCGTTTTTGCAGACAATAAGTGTAGATTCTGCACTATATCACATACATAGAATGAGAGAGAGAGAGAGAGAGAGAGAAACTAGGCAAAAAGTGAGGAAGAAAGAGAGACCTAGGTTTGATGAAGATGAATTCTTGAACTCCAAGTCCAGAAGATCTTTGCTGCTATGCGCCATCTGAGAGCACCACAAAGTTGAAGTATCAATGAACTTACACTATAAATTGCAGGCAAAATTTTTAGTGGCAAAATTTAGTTGTAATCTCAGTGATTACAAATTTATTTGCGGTAATCTCAGTGATTGAAAGTTAGGGTTCGTGAATTCGACTGTAGGAATGGCAATGGGGTGGGACGGGGCAGGGCGGGGCTGAGGACTAGCCCCCCGGTCCCCGATCCCCGAAAGTAGTATACGCCCCGTCCCCAATCCCCGACCCCGACGGGGACCCATAGCCTAGCCCCATCCCCGCCCCCGATCGGGGATCGGGGATCCCCGACCCCGAAAATTCCCGGTGGTTATTTATTTTTATTTTTTTATATATGTAAAAATCTGTAAATAGATTAAAAACATCATGAAGCATCCATTTTTACAAAACATCCTGAAAATCCATTTTCATCCTGAAACAATGGATTAAAAATCTATAAATTGATTAAAAATCTGAAGCAACATCTGTAAATTGATTAAAAATCTGAAGCAACATTATCTGAAGCAACATTTTGTTGCCAACATACAAAACATCCTGAGGCAACAAAAAAATTTGTAAAAATCTGTAAATGGAAACATCCTAAAGCAAAATACAAAACATCAATAAACATCCATTTAAATCCTGTAGCAACATCTTGAAAATTCAGCATCCATTACATCCTGTAGCAACATTATGAAAATTCAACATCCATTACAACATGAAAATTCAACAGCCCAACAAAATAACACAAACAAAAAATCATGTAGCAACAAAATAACACAAACCAAACATCAGCCCACGCACACAAGAAAATTCAACAAGTACCAAAGAGAATAATTAATCCCAAGCACAACCCGCAAGGGATAGGTTACCCAAAAATTGAAATTTAAAAAAATATATATATATATATATCCATTACAACATAAAATCAAATTCACTGTTTCTCCAATACCCCCTACACAAATTCTTCCCACAGCAGATTTAAGAAAAATCATTCAATCCAACATTCAATCCATCTATCTTAGTCAATCCAACATAAAATCATTAAATAAACTATGAGGGTTTATCTTTGTTCTCATCTTACCTATGGTTAATTTGATCCCCTGTTGAAAAGAATAGGTTGATGATCCTGCAAGGTAAAGACAAAATTACAGTTACTGGATCAGAATCTGTCCCTTTATATTACAGCCTTATTTATCCAGGCACATAAGTCTCCATGTGAAAACCAATCCAAACAACACTAAAAAATGCCATGCCAACTATATAATGCGACTCCTATCCAATAATTAAAAAAATATACATATTGAGCACATACCAACTCACAGCTGCATGAATTTGCTGTCAAATCCCACACACGAATATTTCCATTTTGGTCCCCTGATATCAGCTCAGTCTGCAAAAGCATGAAAAACTCATAAGACGTACAAACAAGGGCAGTCTATGTAAAGTTGAATCCTGTGTAGGAAAAGTAAACAGTTAGAAGAGCACTTCTATTGTTTTAGGAAGTAATAAAAGATAATAGACCAAAGGAGTCTTTCAAGTGGACCTTATCTTCAACTAGGCACCAAATCAAACTCCTAATCTGATTATCTAAATGATAAAATAAAACTTGTTAGGCTGTAGCATGAAGATAATGATTAGCTATTAGGAAAACCATGATCTAAGGAAGCCAGTTCAAAATATTATCATGCCAGTGCCATTTCAGTTTTCATTTACAAAAGGGCCATAAAGAAATTTTTGAACCCACAACATTCTCCAAAAAGTACAAGACACAATTCCTTCAACTTGTATCAACAATACCATTATAGTTTCTCCGGTTTTGTAAAGATCCCAAAATATACAGTGCAAGTTGGTGGAAAAACTACATGCAAATGCTTATTAAAATCACTAACAAACTGTAATTTGCAAATGAGAATACACTGAGGCCACATTTTACTCCCATATAAGTCCACAGGAAAGAAAAGAAATGTTACCCATATAAACAATCTAACCCCAGCGTGTATACATATGATAATACCCCATGTTTTCATTGCCTTTCCCATGACTATTGAAATCAAACAAACTCTTCTAGAACTATGGGCAAAGCATACATCAACTAAGAAAAGCAAAATAAATAAATAAATAAATTGTAACCATAAATTCAATCCAACATACTGAATCAAACCTACATCACCAAAACACATTCAACAATTGGCTACACTTCCTATTTCAAAACCCTAAAATCCAATGTCAAATAAACCACCAATAAATTAACAAAACCAAAATTCATTCAATTCATACCACTTTTCCTCTACTATTTAAAAAAACCAACTTAATTCTTACACTACAAGTTCAGAAATTTCGTCATATCCCAGAGCCAACAGATCAAAAAAGTGGAGGAAAAAAAAATTCCTAAACAGATCAAAAATTTATGGGCAAATTACATATGCCCCTCGAGGTTTGGCTAAATTACAGATACCCTTTGAGAAATTACGAATTTCCCCTGAATGCTATATTTGCATAAGAAATTAGGGGATAATTTGTTATGAAATATAAACCTCAGGGTAAATTGTTATGAAAATACAAACCTCAGGGGACGGGATGTAATTTTCGAAACCTCAGGGTATCTGTAATTTAGCCAAAGCTCGAGAGGTATATGTAATTTGCCCAAAATTTATAAATTTCAACAGATCAAAAATTTCGAAGATCAAAAATAAACCACCAACAAGTAGATCTATAAATTTCGAAGGAAAAAAAAAAAAAACAGAGGTTAAACCCTAGAACGAAATCCCTAGAGAGAGAGAGAGATACCTAAACAGTGAGCAGCGACGGTGAGGGAGGTCGGCGGTGACGGAGGAGCGGCGGTGAGGGAGAGAAAGCAACAGCGGTGAGGGAGCGACGGAGGAACGGCAGAGGTGAGGCGGTAAGGGAGGATCGGTGGCGACGGAGGATCGCCGGTGAGGAGAGAGGCGCGGCGGTGAGAGAATGAGAGGGGGAGGCCAAACCAGTGGTGGCGGCGAGCGAGAGAGAGAGAGAGAGAGAGGAGCGAGCAGAGAGCGCCGTGTGAGTGAGAGGTGTCTGAGTGTGTGTCTCAACCCTAGACAAACACAAGGATACATATATATGGCAGGGACAAAACTGTCATTTCACCTCGGGATTAAGCGGGGCGGGTCTGAAACACCTATCTCTGTCCCCGGCCCGGATATCATCGGGGATGAAATTTTGAATACCGTCCCCGTCCTCACGGGGGTATTTTTCGGTGAATAACCACTTAATTCGGGGTCGGGGGTCGGGTTACCGTCGGGTCGGTTTCAGATTGCCATCCCTATTCGAGTGCAGAGAGGATTTAGGGTTTTTGAGGGAGAGAAAGTAGGAATGGCAACGGGCCGGGGCGGGACCGGGGATTACACTCTCCGTCCCCAATCCCCGATTGTGAAAATCACCCCGGCCCCGGCCCCGGCCCCGACGGGGACCCTACCACCATCCCCATCCCTGCCCTCCAACGGGGATCGGGTTTCCCCGACCCCGAAAGTTCCCCGCCCCGCCAAACCTGTTTCAACAGCAACACAATCAATAACAACACAATCAACAACAACAACAACATCATCATCATCCCCAATCAACAACATCCCAATCATCAATGGATCATTAAAAAAAAAAAATTTGGATAGATACAGACATACATGAATAAATACAAACAGATCTGAGATCGGCATCGCGGATAGTGGACGAAGGAAGGAGGATCGGCGATGGTGGGTAAGCCATGGACGAAGGAGGACGATCGGCGTCGCGGAGCAGCCGACTGCGAGTGCGATGACAGAGGATGACGATCGGAAAAGGAGGAGGAGGCGGCAGTGGAGGAGACGACGAGAGGCGGAGCAGCCGACTGCGTGCGGAGAGAAGAGAGAGAGAGATAGATCAGAAAGTGAGGTGAGGGTGAGACAAAAGAAAGAGTGAGAGAAGAGAAGAGAGAGAGAGAGAGAGAGAGAGAGAGTGTGTGTGTAAGGCAATGTAAGAGAGAGAGTTACACATGTGGATCTGTAAACAATAAACATATATATATATATATAATATATAATATTTAAAGAGACAGCCTGTAACCAAACCAAACATATATATATATACATATATATGTATATAATATATATATGTTCTTATTCAAATATCTGTTCTTAGTTATGAACACATGATCTGTTGATCACAAACCGTTGTTAATATCCACCTTTCATTGCAAATCTGTTCTTATCAGATATGTTCATAACTCTGTTCTTATAAAATATAAATGTTCTTATTGCTCAATTACCAGGTCTTGCATAACTCTGTTCTGTTCGGTTATCACAAAGTTGGGCCAGATTTGTTTTATTTTTTTTTTGTTCATAACATTAATTGGTGCTAATAGAAATGCTCAATTCCCATTTGTATGGTTACATATGAATTACATAAAAAAATATAATTCCAACTCAATTTGGGAAGGAAGGTAGATATATTATCTATATATATTAATAACAAATTACAAAATATATAAAACTTATAGTACAAATATATTACAAAAATTGGGTTTATTAAGCAATATATTTAAAATATATCTGAAATATATATTACAAATTTAGATTGCAAAAGGAAAGAG